TCTCATTCAGCTCAGATAAATCCCGCCCTTTTTTGCAGCGTGCGCACGCGATTTTAGCCAAACTGTGCACGGTTTAGCTTTCTTGCCGATTCGTTTCTTGCGGATTTCAATTCTTGCCGATTTGTACGGTCTCTATATCTTTAATTTTAAGTTTCTAAAAATTTACTTTTTAAACACTGAAATAAAAAAAAGTTATTTCTCTTGTTTTAATGTTCAGGTTTCTGAAGCCAAGATCCTGCGGAAAGAGCAGGTCGGGGAGGTTGGCGGCTCCAACTCTTTCGCGTAAATAGTGTATTCATGTGACGTTTTCTTGTATTGTGTTTCAAGAGGATAAGCGGTGCGAGCAGATAACAGTACACAGTTAATTCAATGACCCATTTATTGAGAAGGGCAGTAATTTATAGGAGAAAAGGAGCGGAGTCTCCGGCAATGGCAGAACGTGGCTTCTTGGAAGGACAGAAGGTTCGGATAAATTACACCTGAAATGCGCGGAGCTTCTAAGATTCAGGGAATCGATTAGAAGCCAGCAATTCTGATTACGTTTGGGGGTTTGCTTCATGAGTTGTCTTGGAGGACACAAGAGGCACAGGGGCCTACTCAAAGGAACCGAAAATACTGGCAGTGTAGTGAAACAAAGCCAGGAGAAGGACTCTAGGGAATACCGGTGACTGTCAATGCGTATAAACATTGACAGGAGACTAGCTCACGGCAGTAAAACGATAAAGGAAGAAGTAAAAGTAATTAGGAAAACATAAAGAAACGCAACTGTCGAAACACGCTCGGTGTATTACTTTTGGAGGGGATTTGAATTGGGGTTTTCATAATTTGAACAATTTAAATATTTTAAATAAACAGAATGGACTTAATTAAATTGTTTTAAAGGATAAAAAGTGAAGAACAAGCGATCTATGATACTCAGACAGCGTGGGCGCTGTGTAGATCGATGAGTTGCCGAAATCATGTATTTAGGTGCATGTTTGGCAACAGATCCTGTACTTTTGAAATTCTGAAACTCCAAAATTTCGAGGTTTTCTTTGAATCTGAGGCTTCAGAGGCAGAATTTGCTATTCGGAAATTTTCAGATTTTGATAATCTGAAATTCAAAAAATTCGAAAACTTCAAAGTTCTAAGATTCTGAAATTCTGATATCCTCATATATTGAAATTCGATAATTTTGTGTTTCTGAAATTTTGAGAATCTGAACCATTTTCTAGGTTCCTTCTTGTCTTTTTCGTCACTCTATTCGATTCAATTTTTTTGATCTACAACATGTTCAGCAGTCACAAAATCGTCGAGTTTTTGCAACAGTAAGAATAACTTTTTTTTCCAAATTTAAAAATTCAAAAATTCAGATTTCTCGACAACCAAGAAGCCGATGAGAACGAAGAAAAAAAACCAGATGACGAGAAGAAAAAAGTGTATCGAAAAGAGCAACATGCGATTTTACTCTCCGAATTTTGTCTCCACAAATTTACACCGGATATTATAATTGTAAGGGGTTTCGAGTTTTTTAAAATTCTAGAATAATATTCAGAAATTCAGAAGTTCTGCAGTTCTAAAATTCTACCATTCAGAAATTCGGAAAATTAAAAACTTCAGAGTTTTTGAATTTCTGAATTTACCACTTCCAAACTTCAAAAACTCGAAAATTTGAATTTTAGCTTTTAAAAATGATCAACAACCACACTGGAGATATCGTTTGTACTGAAATTGTCGGCAGGATGTGGAATGACTTTTTGTGAGTTTTGAATAAGACTTTCTTCTAGAATTCAACAAAAAATTTCAGAAAACGGGACGCCAAACTCGTGCTTCAAAAATTTGTTGATAACGATCCCAACATGGAAACCAAGTCGTCCAGTTTGAAATCGGTGCAACTTTTTGAAGAACACAAAGGATTAATATAGTTTTTCCCTAAATAAGGGTTTTTCTTGTTTTTTTTTTTGAATTTTTCAGAATGATTAATAAAATATTTTCTCTGGCACTTCCAAACTGCGGTTTTGAATTTTTTTTGTTGGAAACCAGAAAAGTTATTATGGAGAAGACACCAGGTTCACAATGGCGCTGATTCATTTTATCCATACATATGGATGATCGGGCCGGCCCGCTTGCTTGGAAACCCTCGGCTCCGCCTAGAATGAATTTTTGAAACTTTTAGTCTTTTAATGTTCCAAAATAATTGTATTGGAACAAATATTAATCTTCCTTATATATAAAACGCTAGAGATGTCTGTCGGTCCTGGTGTCACGCTGTGGACTTTTGAAAAGTTTGAAAAATAAGTATAGATTACGTGACCTTCAAATAGCTGGCTGGTGGGCCTTCGGCGCAATTGACCTTTTTCTTTTTTTTTCGTCGCTTCGCGACTCACTCTTCTTTGAATGTCACGTCGAATTCCATTTCAATTTATCGTAATTCCATTTCAATTTACCGTAATTCCATTTCAATTTACCGTAAATTGATTTTGATTTACCGTAATTCCATTTTGATTTACCGTAATTCCATTTCCATTTACCGTAATTCCATTTTGATTTACCGTAATTCCATTTTGATTTACCGTAATTCCATTTCCATTTACCGTAATTCCATTTTGATTTACCGTAATTCCATTTTGATTTACCGTAATTCCATTTTGATTTACCGTAATTCCATTTCCATTTACCGTAATTCCATTTTGATTTACCGTAATTCCATTTTGATTTACCGTAATTCCATTTCCATTTACCGTAATTCCATTTCCATTTACCGTAATTCCATTTTGATTTACCGTAATTCCATTTTGATTTACCGTAATTCCATTTTGATTTACCGTAATTCCATTTCAATTTACCGTAATTCCATTTTGATTTACCGTAATTCCAATTTGATTTACCGTAATTCCATTTTGATTTACCGTAATTCCATTTCAATTTACCGTAATTCCATTTCAATTTACCGTAATTCCATTTCAATTTACCGTAATTCCATTTCAATTTACCGTAAATTGATTTTAATTTACCGTAATTCCATTTTGATTTACCGTAATTCCATTTTGATTTACCGTAATTCCATTTCAATTTACCGTAATTCCATTTCAATTTACCGTAATTCCATTTTAATTTACCGTAATTCCATTTTGATTTACCGTAATTCCATTTCAATTTACCGTAATTCCATTTTGATTTACCGTAATTCCATTTTGATTTACCGTAATTCCATTTCAATTTACCGTAATTCCATTTTGATTTACCGTAATTCCATTTCAATTTACCGTAATTCCATTTTGATTTACCGTAATTCCATTTTGATTTACCGTAATTCCATTTCAATTTACCGTAATTCCATTTTGATTTACCGTAATTCCATTTCAATTTACCGTAAATTCATTTTAATTTACCGTAATTCCATTTTAATTTACCGTAATTCCATTTTAATTTACCGTAATTCCATTTTGATTTACCGTAATTCCATTTTGATTTACCGTAATTCCATTTTGATTTACCGTAATTCCATTTTGATTTACCGTAATTCCATTTTGATTTACCGTAATTCCATTTTGATTTACCGTAATTCCATTTTGATTTACCGTAATTCCATTTTGATTTACCGTAATTCCATTTTATTTACCGTAATTCCATTTTG